TTTAAACTACCTGTACTAGTGCATCAGGGGTTACTGGTTCCACACTTTGTCTCCTTTCAGGGGCAGATATAAAATGCCAGGGAACATGGAAATACAAAAATCTCTCATGGCTTTGCTGATTCTGGGAAAGAGTCTCAGCCCTCATTCCAGCTGTAAGGTCATGGTGAGTTCCAGGGTTCTCACGGAGGAAGCACACACAGGCTACTCAAATAGTTAGGAAAAATCTATGACTCATGTCATAGATACTCAGGGTTATTTCAGTAAGAATGAGCAAACCCACATTTTCCTGCCTTTGCCTTGAAGTCCTGCTCTAAGGGCTTGCCTCAGAGATGAGTAGAGACAAAGGAAGCTTGGGTCAGCAGCTCTTAACGTAGCCTGGAAATGGCAACCAAAAGAGCTAGGTCTTCAAGAGGCCTTTAATTCCAGTTCTGGGATGATACCTATTTTTGTGGAAGTTGCTATAGGAAGATTCAAAGTGAATGTTGCTCCAACTCTCCATTTTACAAATGGAAAAACTGAGGCCCAGAAAGAAGTGACTTGCCTAGGAGCTAGCTGCCTAACTAGCTCTTACTAACCAGGACAATTATCCAAGCATCTCAACTCACAAAGCCATCTTTTTCCACTTTGTATTTCCTCCCTTAACTTTTCAGAGACACAATTTCTTCTTGGGTAATAGCTGTTTGGACTAGATATTCTCAAGGTTGCTTCTGGTTTTGCAGTCTTGTGTTCTATATGGTGAGGTCCCTCTTCCATTTCTGACATTATAGGTTCTATATTCTAAAGTCACTTACTGTCAGTCCATAAGCATTTATTAAGCTCCTATTATGTGCCAGGTACCATGCTACATACTGGGGATACAAAAAGAGGGAAAAGACACTCCTTGCCCTCGAGGAGTTTACAATCTAATAGGAGAGATAATAAGCAAATAAATATGTATAAATAAGCTATACATAGGATAAATAAGAAATAATTTTTAAAAAAAGGAAGGCACCAGAATTAAGAGGGGTTGGGAAAGGCTTCTATAGAACATATGATGTTAGTTGGGATTTGAAGGAAGCTAAGGAAGCCAGGTGATGGAGATGAGAAGCAGAGTGTTCTGGACCCAGGGGAACGTCAAAGAAATGCCCAGAACCAAGAGATGGAGTGCTTTGTTAGTGGAACAGCCAGGAGACCAGTGTCACTGAAAGAGTGTACCTCAGAAAGACTGTAAAGGTAGGAGGGGGCTTGCATATGAAGGGCTTTGAATGTCAAACAGAACATTTATAATTCATCCTGAAGGTGATAGGGAGCTACTGGAGTTTATTGAGAATGACATAATTAGACCTGAGCTTTAAGAAAATGACTTTGGTGGATGAATGAAATATTTCAGCTATAACATTATGTTATCTCTGGTCTAGGGTGTCCAAGTCTGACATTTTATGTTCTAGGACTTTTCACCCATTCAGCAGCAGTTCTCTATACATGGTGCAGTGGATAGAGTGCTGGGTCTACACTCAGGAAGACCTGAATTCAAATCCAACCTCAGATACTTAGCACCTGTGTGACCTTGGGTAAATCACTAGATTCCTATTTGCCTCAATTTCATGACAATGTAAAATTGGGATAATAATGGCACCTTCCTCTCAGGATTGTCCTGAGGATCAAATGAATAATATTTGTAAAGCACTTAACACAGTGCCTGGTACATAGTAGGTACTTAGTAAATGCTTGTGTTCTTCCTTCCCTCCTTCCTCCCTCCACTCCTCCTCCCCTCCCTTCTTCCCTCCTTCTTTCCTTCGATGGAGAGGTGACATAGTCTTCTGTGTAAAGAGTACCTATTCTGATCTGATCTGTTAAGCTGGTCGGTAGAAAGAAAAGTGAATCTCTAATATTCTAGGCCTTCTCTGCAAGGTACAAGAGGTAGGGAACAAGGCCAGGACAATGAACTTCTCCAGATTCCTCCTTTTTCCCTCCATTCAAACCTTGGCCACAGGAAGTGACCATCACCACATGAACAACCAGCTTCCATATCACCACCACCACAACCATCCATTCTCTCTCCATTTTCAGGTGACTTGAACTTAGGAGAGTAAACTCAGGTTCTTGGAACTTAGGGGAATAAGCCAGAGTCTCATGACAGCTTGAATCCTGAAGTCTTCTTCGTGCCTGAAGTGCCAAGATATCCTCAGGCAGCATTGATGGAACTATGGGATCCAGAATGAGAGTAGTGATAGCTCTGCTGTTCCCTGCTCTGGTGGGTCAACACATTGCAGGATGAACTTTGACAAGCTGAAGTGTATCCAGGGTAAGTCACCCAGGATACTGGGAAGATTGGACACCATGCCCTGTGAGGCCCTATTTAAAGAAGTGAGAATGTTCAGCCTATAAAAGAGAAACTCCAGATGGAACATGGTCACTGTCACCAAACATCTGAAGGGCTGTTAGAAGAGGCTGAGTGAGGGGCACCTGTTCTTTTTGGTCCCAAGCAGAAGCAGGGGAATGGGAAAACTGGGTAACAATTTCAGAAAGGCAGATTTCAGCTCCTTTAAAGGAGCAGCTTCCTAGCAATGGGAGTCATCCCAAAAGTGGCATGAGAATTCACGTTAAATTCAGTGGTAAACAAAACTCTTGAAGCAAAGGATCCTCTGACCACCATTCAAGGATGCTGTAGAAAGGACTCCTGCTCAGGTAAAGGTTGGACTAGATGCCTCTGAAATTCCCTTCAAGTCAGAGATTTAAAGGTATGAGAATTAGATGACTTCCTCTCTTTCTGCTTTGGTGGTGTCATCTGTGAAATGAGTACAAAACAAGACTGTTGTGTCATTTCAGTCTTATCTGACTCTTTGTGATCTCATTTGGGGTTTTCTTGGCAAAGATACTAGAGTGGTTTGGTATTTCCTTCTCCAGCTCATTTTATAATGAGGAAACTGAGGCAAATAGGGTTAAATGACTTGCCCAGGTCACATAGCTAGTAGGTGTCTGAAGCTGGATTGGAACTCACAAAGATGAGTCTTCCTATCTTCAGGCCTTGCACTCTATCCACTGCCCTACCTAGCTGCCCTAAACAAGACTAGATGATCTCTAATATTCTTTATAGTTCTGAAGCCCCAAGAAACAAACTGATTTAGAGAAGATTCAAAATGCTCATTCCTCTAGCCCTGGGGCCTGCAACCAGGGGTGTGCTGGCAAATTTTAACAATTGGTTTGGGGAAGGGAAGGGGTGGAGAGAATACATGTACACACACCTTAAGTTTAGAAAATAATAATAACTATATCAGATTGCATGCAGTCTTGGGGAGGGAGGTAGGGAAGGAGGGAGAGAAAAATTTTAAATTCAAAAGCTTATGGACATGATTGGTGATATATCAAAATAAATTAATAAAAAACATGAAAAAGAAAATAATAATAGCAAACATTTTTATAGAGCTTGCTATGAACCAGGCACTATGCTAAATGCTTTACAATCATTATTATCTCACAACAACCCTGGGAAGTAGGTACTATTATTATCCCCATTTTATAGATGAGGAAGCTGAAACCAAAGGTTAAGAGATTTACCCAGGGTCACCAAGCTAGTAAGTGTCAGAGGCTGGATTTGAACTCAGGTCTTCCTGACTCCAGGCCAAAAACAATAAACAAAAAATAACTGAAACTCTGATATGTAGCTATTGTAGACTTCAGCAGTGTACATACTCACATTGAAAATTTAATAATCGATTCTGCAAGCCAACTAGAGATGGCTTTAGCATGTGAAACACTAACTTTAGCTAAGGTAGGTCCAAGAGGGTTTGCTTTCTCAACCTAAAGCTCTCTGAGCAAAAGAATGTACAGACATTCTCTTTTTTCCCCTTTTCTTTTTCTAAAAAAAAGTTGCAGGACAGGATGTGGAATACTGAGTCTAGAGCTGGAGGAAACCTCAGACATTCTGCTCCTCTGTGTCGTCTCCCAGTTTATAAGTAAGGAAACTAATGCTCAGGTAAGCTAAATAACTCACTCAGGGTTACATAGAAAATTAGGAGCAGCAGACAGGGTTTGAACCTAAGGCCTCTGGTGTCAGACAGTGGCCTTGTTACCAGCCTATGTGTTTTTGAGGACCCTAAAAAGTCAGCTCCAGAAGGGAAATGTAGTCCAACTCAGGCTGTAGCAGAGTGGATACCACTCCCCTTCCCCTAAGAAAAGTCAGGGGTAGGAAGGAAACACCCATTTATTAAATTTTTACTATGTTATGGGCCCAGTGCTTTATAAATATTATCTCATTTGATCCTCACAACAAACCTGGGAGGTAGGTGCTATTATTATTCTTATTTTATAGTTGAGGAAACTGAGGCAAACAGAGGATAAGTTACTTACCCAAGGTCACATAGCTAGTAATGCCAGGGGCCAGATTTAAAGTTGGGTCTTCTTGAGTCCAGGACCAGTTCTCTGTCTACTTCACCAACTAGATGTCACACACACACACACACACACACACACACACACACACACATACAAATACACACATATACACACACACTAACAAACACACATGAAGGATGGGAGCCTAGTAGATGGGGGCAAGAATGAGGGAGTCTATGGAACACAAACAACCCAGGTGAGATTCTAAGAACACACACAAACACATACAGGAGGAAGACTAAATAGAGACCCAGACACCAAGGACAGAGACCAGGAGTACAAACGCAAAAGGGAGACTGGGAGAAGGGGATACGCAAGGCTGAAGGAGGGAAAGGTTGGGGGCTGAAGGGGAGGACATAAACATATTTACTCACTAGATAATAGGGGTGAGTGATGAGGAGGTAAGTCACCCATTGCCCTAGGTACACGCAGGCGGAGCAGAAGTTGGCAGTTGGGTGGGAGCAGGCCAGGTGGAATTGGCTGGCCCAGGACAGAGTCCATATCTAGGCAAGTTGGCAAGAGGAAAGAGGTCTGGTTAGGGCTGGAGTGTGGACATAGCTCACTTGATAACATGATGTAATTCAGCAGGTGGAGCCCATGGCCCCTACATAAGGCAGCCTCCCAGGCTCCTGTGAGCTCAGGACACCTGCTACCTTCCATTGGAATCTTTCAGTTTCAGCTTCAACTAGAGGTAAAGAAGTCTGATCATGAGGCCTCTTGGCATCGTCCTGCTGCTCTCCCTGACTCTATGCTGCTTCTTGTGTAAGTTTCTCCTTGGGCACACCACCTTCACATTAGGGCCAGTAGCCCTCAGATAGCCCTTCCTCCAGAGCCCAATTTGACTCTAGCTGCACTCTCATGGGAGTTTTTAAAGGTTAAAGTACAGGGACTCAAAGTTGGTGAAACAACTGCATTAAGAGAGTGCCTGAGTCTAGAAGATTTCTCCACAGCCGTGCTGTGTGGGTGGGAACAAGAGTTTTATTATCCCTGTTTTACAAAGGAGAAAATAGACACTAGATAGGTGAACTGGGAACACAACTAGGAGGTGGAAGACCCCCACCTCTGATCCTAGGTCTCCAGGTTATAAGACCCAGAATACAGACTGCACCTCTGAGGACCTGAGTTTGGGCTATAGAGAAAGGACATTGATAAGGATATCATAGACAGGATTCATATACAAGATAGGAGGTTAGATGAAAATTTTGACTTATGTTTATGGAAAAAGTGAGACAGAGACAAAGACAGAGGCAGAGACAGAGGCAGAAGCAGGAAGACAGACAGATACATAGCCCTCATGATCAGACTTCTTTACCTCTAGCTGAAGCTTAAACTGAGAGACAGAGACAACTAGGTGGCACTCTTGGATTCGGGAAGACCTGAGTTCAACTCCTGCCTCAAACACTCACTAGCTCTATGATATCATGCAAGTCACTTAATGTCTCTCAACCAGTTTCCTTATCTGTAAAATGGGGATAATAATAACACCTAACTCACAAGGATGTCATGAAAATATAATGAGACAAACATATAAAGAGCTTTGAAAACCTTAAAGTACTACACAAATGCTACCTATGATTTGTTATTGTTGTTGTCATGATTTCATTTGATCCTAAAAACCCTATAAGTGTCTTAGCGATTGTTACATTTATTTTACACAGTAGAAAGAAAGTAGAGTTAAGTGAATTGCTCAGGGTCTTACAGCTGGTGACTGGGTCAGGATGTGGACCCAGATCTCCTGATCCCCAAACCAATACCTTTGCATCTACAGTCTGCTACTTGTGTTGTTTGAGGACAGATGTAAGAATGAGATAAGATGTAGTGAAAAGAGCTCTCAACTTAAGGTCTGGATACCTGACTTGGGATCTTGGCTCTGATTATTAGCTACAAGACAATGGACAGCTTAATTCATCCCTCTGAGCATCAGTTTACTGATCTGTAACTTGGGAATAATAATCATCAGTCTGCTTATTTCATGAGATCGTTGTGAGGACAGGGCTTTTATTCATACTAAAGGACCACTTCAATTGCTAGCTTCTAGCAAGAATTCTAACATCCACAGGTCATTATGTAACCATGGTATCATCAGGGGATGTTAGAAATTATCAAGTCCTACCTTTCTGATTTTCATAGATGAGAAAAATGAGGCACAAGGAGGTTATGTGATTTGATGGGTGCTAAGTATCTGGGGGGGGATTTGAATCCAGATCTATTGACTGTTAGAATGTCTGGGCACTCTCTAGCACTGTAAGTTTCTGACCAGGTAAGGTCCTGGATGAGTTGAGGGAATATATTTAGTGAGAGCTCCCTCCACAGATGAAATCATAAGTCTAAATCTCACTCCATAGAACAGATTTGTAGGACATTGAGCCCATCCTCTCTCCCAAGCCAAAAGTCCTTTCTGCAGATAACCCAGGAAGGAATTACCCAATCTTTGCTTCAAAAATGCCAATGATGGGAAGCTCACTGTTGCCCAATGTTGTCCGTCCCATTTTAGGGGACAGATTTTCTTATTAGAAAGCTCTTATATTGAGCCCAAACAGCTACCCTATATCTATCCCCTATGCCATTCTGCTCTCTGGGGCCAACCCAAACAAGTCTGATCCCTTATGGACATGGAAATCTATGATCACAAAGAACTAGCAGAGATTCATCAAGAACAGGACATGCTTAACATGCATCCCCTTTTTCAACAGGGCAACTAACCTGGTGAGGTCAGTAAACTACTGCAATACAGACTGCCTTAGAATATAGAACAGTGATTGATAAAGGAACTCATGCTATTCTTGTAGACAAGACAGGGGGTCACAAGTCACACAAGAAGAGGAGGAGGTGGCTTCAGAGCTGTTTTAATGGAGAGAGTCAAAGAAAAGTCACAGGATCAAAGATTTGGAGCTAGAAGAGACATTGGAGGTCATTGATCCAATGCCTTCATTTTGCGGGTGAGGAAAGGGAAGGGCACATGGCTAGAAAGCTAAATGACCTGCAGTCCATCACAAAAATAGGAAATAGCAGAGATACAATTTGAAGATAGGTCCTTTGACTCCAAATTGCATCACACCACTCCAATCATTTGTGCTTGGATATCAACTCACGTGGAAAGAGGTTCCTAGTAGGGGGCTCTAGGGAAGTGGGCTTTATCTTCACTGGTTGATTATTTATCAATGACTTGGATAGAGACAAAGATGGCATGCTTGTCAAATTTTCAAGTGACAAAAAAGCCAGGAGGGAGAGGAAGCACCCACTGAGGGACAGGATTCAAAAAGATTTTGACAGGCTGGAACAGTAGGTCAAATCTAATGAGAGAAAATTTTGAGAAGCATATGAGTAAAATTTTACACTTGGGTTCAGAAAATCAACTTCACAAGTACAAGGTGAAAGTGTGACTAGCCTACTACAGTTCATCTTTAAAAGATGTAAGGGTGTTAGTGACCTAGCTCATTATGGATTAACTGTCTAGTATAGCAGCCCAAAATAAGTTAATGCTTCCTTAGGCTTCATTCACAGAATGTGTTCAATCTAGGGAGGTTATAATTCCATTATACACTGCCCTGGTCAGACAACATAGACAGTAATACATTCAGTACCACAGGCCTGCACAACCTACAGCCTGCAGGTCACTTGCAGCCCGCCAAAGGATTTTAGGCAGCCCACAAAAAATGTAGAGGATGTAAAATAAAGATGTAACAAGTGCTTTGTCCATGCCCCACTTAACCCAAAGAAGCTTAGCCTATTTTATTTTTGGCCTCTACCTACTGCCGCGTTATGCTGGTCTGCAGTACTAGATGCCACATTTAAGGAACAACATTGATAAGCTGGGGAAAGAACACGGAAGATAGTCCAACATAGTGAAAGCCCTACAATCATGACATATGAGGATTCTTGAATTGAATCCTGGAGAAAAGAAGATTTAGGAAGGATATGATATCTCTCTTCAAGTATTTGAAAGGTCATCAGGTGTAAGGATTAGACTTCTCCTGCTTGGTTTCAAGGGGGTAGAATTAGGAGCAATGGGTAGAAGTTACGAAGAGGCAAATGCTTGATATTGGGGGAAATTCCCTAAAATGTAATGATCTAACAATGAAACAGGTTGCTGCTGGAAGTAGCTCCTTCCCTCCAATGATATCCTGCCTGGACTCCTTCCCTAACAATTAGCAAACTTCTCCCACCCACTGAAGGGGTTCAAATAAAGTCAGAAGACTGGTTGTTAGGTATTTAAAATAAAAAACCCTCTCTAAGTCATTCTCACTTATTATCGTAGCAATTTTTTTTTTGGTGAGGCAATCAGGGTTAAGTGACCTGCCCAAGGTCACACAGCTAGTACGTGTCAAGTGTTTGATCTGAGGCCGGATTTGAACTCAGGTCCTCCTGACTTCAGGGCTAGTGCTTTATCCACTGTGCCACCTAGCTGCCCCTTTTCTCACTTATTATCATCCTCTTTTTTTCTTCTCTTTCTCAGTCAAACTCCTTGAAAAAAGCTATTTCCAGTTAGTACCTCCACTCTCTCTCCTCTCATTCCCTGCTAAGCCCTCTATAATCTGGCTTGTGACCTAATCATTCAAATGAAATTGTTTTCTCTAAAGTTACCTATGGTTTCTTACTTGTCATATCAATTAGCTTTTAAACCTTAATCCTCATCCTTCTTCAATTGTGCAGCATACTACAGTGTTAACCACACATTTCTCTCTAGATTTTCATGACGCTGCTCTCTCTGGGTTCTCCCCCTACCCATCTGACTGCTCCTCAGTCTCCTTTGCGAGATCACATGATCCTCAGTGTCATCCCTGCCCAAATGCAGAATTGTGTACTGGTCATATACTAGACTTGAACTGGTCACTGTGTCCATGCAATGGCTTTCATCAGTTACAATATCTAAGTATCTAAATTATGATTCAGTATCTAAATCATGATTTTTGACAGGTCACCATGTCCAGGCTTCCACCTTTCACAGAGTTTAACTTAATGGCTTTTCACTTCTTACTGTGTGTTATGGCTTTTCCCCACCTGGGACCTCACACCCTGCTCTGTACTTACACAGTCACCACCCTCATTTAAACCCTTAACCTTTTCAACCTTGACCACTCCAATATTTGATCCTCCTCTTGGTCTCCAGTGTCTCATCTCTCCAGTCCTTCCCCCACCCAGCTGCTGAAATGATTTCCCTAAAGCACAGATCTAACCATGTCACTCCTCTACTCAAGTAGTTTTCAAGGCTCCAGTGGTTTTGTTTATCTCTAGGGTCAAATATAAGATTCCTTTGCTTCCCTCTGTAGCTCTTCACAGATTGGCCCCTCCTTGCTTCTCCAATCTCCACATCACTCCCCTCCACATGCTCTACAGTCCAGCCATATTGGACTATTGGACTCTTCTCACACCACACATTGCATTTCCTGTTTCCATCCCTTTGCACTGGCTGTTCGCTGTGCCTACAATGCTCTCCCTCACTACTATCTCTTGGAATTCCTGCTTTCCTTCAAGACTCATTCACCTTCTGCTGAAGTCTGTCCTGATCTCCCCAGCAATTAGTGTGTTCCCAGGCAAGGTTACATTGTCTCTGATTTTTGTATCCTTTATATATATATATATCTATATGTATACATTGTGTCTCTCATTTGAACATAAGTTCTTTGAGAGGACAGACAGCTTGTCTTTGTATCTTAAAATAGTTCCTAACACAAGATAGGCTCTTCAGAAATACTTATTGATTGACTGAATACCCCTGTGAGACAGTTATTTGCTCCCTTTATAAAAGAGGAAACTGAGCCTTAGGAGAAAGAAAAGTGACCTACTCAAGACCACACAGCTAGTCAGTTTCAGAGGAAAATTCAACGCTAGGTCTCTAATTCCAGTTCCAGTCTGTGTTCAGCTACCCAAACCTGCTTTCCAAGTTATCCACGCTCAAGAAAAGTATATCAGAAAAAAATATTTGTTAAATAATAAGCATACTTTTTATTCATTCAGTGCTTTATACTTTCTCAAGCTCTTTTGGACCCACTACCTAATTAGTGGCCCATCCCAACCTCTTTGAAATAAATAGAACAAAGGTTGCTATGTCCATTTTGCAAATAGGCAAGCTCAAGTTCAAAACAGAGCAGTAACTGCTCCCAGATCATACAGCTGAGGACAGAACCATGACTGAAGCCTGGGTCTTCTTCCACCAAATGCTCTGCTCTTAAAGCATTTCAATCCTACTTCTGGTGGATAGGGAATGACAAGGGTTTTGGATTACTCCTAGTCTGTCCAGATATTAGGGTTATTTTTCTCCCAGCTCAACTACCTTTTCTGGGAATCCTTTTCAAACATCTGAGAAACACAATAAGCCAAATGGAAAGGTGATTCTCTTACAAAGGAAAACATCTGTCAGCAGAGCTCAGGTGATAATTAAGATTTCCAGAGACCTTAGATTTCTTTCTTATGGATTCTCCCTCCTCCAGAGCAAATTTGCTGCCCCATCTTTTCCCCCAACCAACCAACACCTTACTAGACTTTTTGGTGAGTTACTATGCCCAAAATATACATTGTCTAAGAACAATCCTTCTAGTGATAAGCATTTCCACAATTAGCTAGGCTGATTGCACAAATATTCCTTCTGTGATTACAGCATTAGTAGCTTGAAATGACCTTCCAAAGTCTGTGCTCTCCTAACATAGCCCTCAAGAACTTCAAATGTTATTTCATGCCTTGATGAGTCAATAGAAGAAGGTTTTAGTGAAGACAGCCAAGAACAACAATTCAGATTTAGATACAAGGACTGGGCTTCAAATCTTCCATTTACTACATGTGTAATCTTGGGTCTCAGTTTCCTTATCTGAAAAATCAGTGGGTTAGACTCTCTGAGGTCCTTTCCAGCTCTATGCCTTTGATCCTATGAAGGAATGTTATTTGCAGTGTTTTATTTACAACAGCCCTGCAAGGCAGGTAGCATAAGTATCATTATTACTATTGTATAAATTAGGAAACCAAGTGTCAGAGAGAAGTAACTCTTCCAATCTCCCACAAAAGAGTGCTGGCAGAGTCAAGACTGAAACTTCCGGCTCAACATGCTGTAATCTTTCCAGTTCTCCCATCTGAGGGGAGGGTACCAAGAATGAGAGCGTGCAGAGAGTCTGATTAAGATGTAACTCATTTTACAAGTCATCTAGAAAGGGGGAGGAAAAACAGTCTCTCAGAATTATGTATTTTACTCACTTGGAAATAGATTTAGAGAATGTCAGAGACAGATGGACCCTTGAGATGATGAAACATGCTGTCCATTACATAGAGCTGATGGATTTAGGTTATGGAATAAGACATATATTCTTGAGTACAGTCATTGGGGGAATTTGTTTTGCTTGACTTTGCATATTTATTACAATTTTTTTCATTGTTTCCCTAATGAGGGGATGTGAAGGAAAAAAATTAGATTTCTATTTTTTTAGTAGAAAATTGGGTGAAGGGAGATGCAACAAATGTGATATATTGCCTGCACTTTCAGATGAGGTCATTGTATCAATAAAACTGAAAGTGACCCCCAAAAAGGGACAGTGAAAGGTGATGTCACTTTACATTTTTGTCTAGGATAGACTTGCTCCAGTCACTCCCTAGAGTACAACCAGTGGCTTAATTATGAATGTTTATGATCAGGCAAAGAAAGCAAACTATTTAATTATATGGATCAAATTAATGGTTTAAAAAAAGAAAGTCTAGGATGGCTCTCAGATTGTAAATCTAGCTGCCTCAAAGTGAAGTTCTGCCCTTGACAGAAATAGGGACAGTAGGAGGGAGGGTATATTTGAGAAAGAACATGATGAGTTTTCATGTTGGAAGTGTTAAGACTGAGGATGGCTATGGGACTTCCAGGATTAAGTGTCCAATGGACAGTCCATGATGCAGAATTAGAGCTCAAAAAAGATATGTGGACTGGCTATGTAGTTTTGTGAGTCATCTGCAAAGAGATGACATTGAACCTATCAGAGCTGATCAAATCACTAAGAGAGAATGTTGAGAGAGAAGAGAGCCCAAGACAAAGCCCTAGAGTATGCTCACTCAAAGGGTTCAGGATATGTATAATGAGGAAACAAAGCAGATTGTGATGGAGCTGTCACACAAGAAGGAGGAAAACCAGGAGAGAGCAGTGCCATGGAAACCCAGAGAGGAGAGAATGCCTGGGATGTTGAAATGGTCAACAATGTTGAAAGTTTCATAAAGAGATCAAGGATCAAAGATAAGAACTGACAAAAGGACATTGAACTTAGCAGTCAGAAGATTATTAGTAACCTTTAAGAGAGCGGTGATTATCCAAATACACCACACCCATTTTTATGACTGCTCAATCTCCTTTGCTTGAAATACCCTGCCTTCCTATGTCTACCTGTCAAAATACCAGTTCCAAAACCACATTTCTCCAAGAAGTGTTGGCCTTCCCCACAGTACTTATCAGATTTTGCATTGCCTTATATTTATTTCTATTTCTACCTTTTCTCATGGGAAGGTCTCTTATCTTATTTATCTTTGTACCCCACTCCAGTTTCCCCAGCATTACAGAATCTCAATAAACTTGATTAACTTTTAAAAAGAATAATATAGACCATGGGATGTAAAACATAGACTGTTAAAGCTGAAAGTGACCTCTGATCATGAAACACGAAGTGACAGAACTAGAAGGGAACCCTTAGATTATCTAGTTTAACTGAAAGAAAAGTGAAATGCAGTGACAGAAAGAGACTGGTCCAAGGTCACACAGTGATTGACTAGCACAGTAAGGACTAAGCACCAGGTGTCCTGATTCCCAGAGGTTTGTTCAGTTGACTGGACTTTTGTCTAATTCTGCCACATTTCAGGGGACTGGGGTTTGTGAGAAGACCCATGTGATGGCATCTAGCAGGCTGCAGGGACACAGAGGGGTGGGTGGAGAGGCTGTGGCTGTAATCTGGACTCCTCTGGCTCCCTTATTCTCCTTCCCCCACCCCCAAAGTATCTGTCTTACAGACAAGGCAAACCTAATCTTTTTAAAATTTGTTTCCTAGATGCTGCACGAGCTGAAGTCCGAAATGTAAGAAGAGCTTCTACTTTTATCATTTTAACACATCTCCTGTGCCGTGGGAAGGGACCATTGATTCACACAGTCCATTCAGCATTCAGCACCTAATGACATTCAGCACCAGAATGACACCAGTCTTTTACCTAAGATCAAAAGTTACTTCCTCTTTCTGGATCTCAGCTTCCTTCACAATTAAATGAAGAGATGGGACAAAATGATCTGTGACATTCTATGTGTTCTATGTTCTGAGATCCCTTCCAGCTCTCACATTTTATGTTCTATGCTCTGACATTCCATGTCCTATGTCCTGGGCTCCCTTCCCACTCTATCTACTGTGTTCTGTGTCTGAGGTCACTTCTAACTCTGACATTTTGTGTTCTATGTCCTAAGCAGGCTTCTAGTTAGGAAGACCTGGCTTAGACCCCTGTATCTGTCCCCTACTGTCTATGTGACTCTGAGTAAGTCACTTAACCTTGAAGCAACCCCAGTAAACTAAGATTATAATTAACTATCACAGAACAGTTACAAATCTGCAAGGATAAAGGGTATTTCCTCACCAAGGATTCCTTGTACTAATGACATCACAAGTCACTCCCACTCCCAACCCCTAAAAAAGAATCAGGCACTGTGCTACGCCATGGGATACAAAAATGAAAATAAAGACAATCCCTGCCCTCAAAGACTTTATATTCTATCTTACACAGATAAGTAACTCCAGAATCCAAAGTAAATACAAAGTAATTTCAGGAAGAAGAGGGGTACTAACAAGGAGAGGTCAAGGAACGCCTCATGTGAAAGATCCTATCTGAGTTGAGCCATGAAGGGAGGTAGGGATGCCAAATGGGATGAGAAAGGAGGACATTTCAGGCCCTAGGAGCAGCCTCTGCAAAGATACAGAGGTTCTAGGAGATGGAATGTAGAGCCTGGGGAACACCAGCTAGACCAGTTTGGAGGTGTTGCTCCACAGGAAACATCCCATAGGCAAGGAGCTATACTGACCTAACCATGGTGGTCATCTATGGTCAGAGAAACTCCACAACAGATTCTTCATGGCAGCCTTGTGCAAGTGGATGTTGTTTCCTAAAGGAATCCACAAGCACAGTAGAGGTATTCAAGCCAAGGTTGGATGAATTTTTGTCAGGTACACTGGAGAGGGGAATCCCTGTTAAGTACTGGTGCCAGCTGAAATCCCATCTTCTACAGCAATCCTCTCCCAATCCCCCTTAATTCTAGTGCCTTCTACCTGTTGATGATTTCCAATTTATCCTATATGTAGTCTATATAATTTGTTGTTGAGTCATTTTCAGTAGTGTCCAACTCGTTGTGACCCCTTTCTGGGGTTTTCTTGGCAAAGATATTGGAGTGATTTGCTATTTCCTTCTCCAGCTCATTTTATAGATGCAGAAACTGAGGCAGAGTTAAGTGACTTGCCCAAGGTTATACAGCTAGTAAGTATCAGAGGTTGCATTTGAACTCAAGTATTCCTGACTGCAGGTCTGCCACTCTATCCAGTGTGCCACCTAGCTGTATTTAATTGTTTGTATGTTACCTCCCCCATTAGACTGTTGATGGCAGTCTTGTTATCAACAGGCAGTGTTGTGTCTCTACCACTTGATGACAAGGACTGTCTTTTACTTTTCTTTGAGTCTTCAGTGCTGAGTATAGTGCCTGGAACATAATAGGTGATTACTAAATGTTTATTGACTGGTAGACTGAATGGTTGGTATAGATCCCTCCCAGCTCTGAAGCTCTGATTATTTGGGTGTCTGTGGTATAGTAGGAGGATCAATTTGTTTTATTATTCTTCTAGCCTGTCTGCTATGACATGCCAGGATGCACCAAAGAATATAGCCCTGTCTGTGGCACCAATGGAAAGACTTATGGCAATGAATGCCTGCTATGTCAGGAAAATAAGTAAGTACCACCATGACTTTCTTTAGAGATAACACTTTAAAGCTCAATGTTCTTACTTCCTAGAACTGGGAACTTGAGAGGACGTTAGAGGTCATCTAGTCATCTAGTAGAGTTCTTAACTGGGGTCTCCAGGGTACCCCTCTGCCAACAAGTCAGTTGAAAAACCATGGGGTTCATGAACTTAGATGGGAAGAAATAACATCATTATTTTTACCAACCTCAACCTTAAATTTCTCGTTTCCTTCAATTATGAAAGTAGGCAATGAACTGAAAAGGGGTCCATTGACTTCACCAAACAAGTCCATCTCTCTCTCTGTCTCTCTCTCTCTCTGTTTCTCTGTCTCTCTCTCTCTGTCTCTCTGTCTCTGTCTCTGTCTCTCTCTCTCTCTCTCTCTCTCTCTCTCACACACACACACACACACACACACACACACACACACGTTTTAAAATCAAGAAAAAACAAAACCCTAATCTAGTCCAAAACCTTCATTTGACAGAGACCATGAAGGAAGGGGTGCTGACTTGCCCAAGGTCTCCCAGGTAATAAGTTACAGAAATAGGATTCAGTCCTAGGTCTGCTAGCACCTAATCCAGTGCTCTTTCTACAATACAATGATGCCTCTATCTGTCTAGATGTGAACAAATTTCATGTCATTTGCAGGGCCAAATGGACAGTGAGACAGCAGTGCAGATGACATAAACTGGGTCACCACTGCAATTATATCAAGGAAGACTACAGTGGACAGTGAGGAGTCTCTCATAAAGAGTTCCCTTGAGTACATTTTACAACATGGAGGAACAAGGGGAACAATCCTGGTCTTAAAGCCAGGAAACTTGGGACCTAGTCCTAACTCAGCCACTAACTTGCTTCATGATCTTGGGCAGGTCACTTCCTCTCTGTAAGCCTAGGTTTCCTCTTCTGTCAAATGGACAATTTGGACCAGATGTTCTTTAAGTGCCCTTCCCTGAACTCCTATCTAGAGCTAGAGGTTTATGTTCTACAATCTTTTTATCAGTAGTTCAATGCCTGTTACCCAGAGGGGATGCTTATGCACACCTCAAGGGTCTAAAAGTTAGGGTATAGCCTCTAAGTCAAAACCCTTGGATCTAATCTCTGATTCCTTCTACCACCATATTCTCTGCCCAGCATTTGGTATATTCCTATTCTTCAAGGGTTCTCAACATTCTAGCTGGAGATACCAGACACATACACCTGAAATAATAAAATAATCAGGAGGGCTAAATAACATGGTGTATACTCATAGATTTGTTATTAGTTACTCTCCTTCATGCACCCTTAATCTCAGCCAAACTGACTTACTTGCTATTCCCTACATGTGAAATTCCACCTCCTCCCTTTGTGCCTTTGCATAGGATGTACCCTTTGCCTGGAATGCCATCCCTCCACAGCTCTGCATCTTGGACTCCCTGACTCCAAAAAGGCTTTTTTTCAATTAGCACCTACTACATGAAGTAGGTGATTTTTCCCAATCCTCTCAGTTGTTGAGTCATTCTCCCCATTCCTCCAACCAATTACTTCGTGCTTACTGAATATACATTTTGTATTTCACTCAAATAGATTAAGTTCCTTGAGGGCAAGGATTGTTTTATTTCAGGTGTGTGTGCTGTGTGTGTTTTTTTTTTTATTCCTAGTGCCTAGCACACTCCAGGGGCTTAATAAATGCTTGCTGAATTAAATTAAATCAAATCTGAAAGGCTCCTCGAAATATGGAATACCACATCTGGAGGAGAACTTACAGAATATGTAGGACAGCTACTATATTTTTAAGAAAAGGAAACTGAATTTCAGGGAAGGTAATTACTTGCCCAAGGCATACACATCACTAGCAAAAGAGCTATAATGCAAATATGATCCACAATTTGTAGTTCATTGCTCTTTCCTAAGGGCTACCAAATCTGGCCTTAGACACTTCCTAGCTGTGTGTCTCTGGGCGAGTCACTTATTCCCGTTTGCCTTGGTGTTATCATCTATAAAATGAGCTGGAGAAGGAAATGGTAAACCACTCCAGTTGCTGTTGTTTATACTTTGTTCTCAAAGAGGATCTTTATCTTTGCTAAGAAAACCCCAAATAGGGTCATGAAGAGTAGGACATGACTGAAAGCACTGAAGGACATTAACAACAACAAAGGAGGTCAAAGGAGGAAGACTTCAGTGAGTTGTGGAGGAGCAAGGGAGGTGGAGAAGGGGACACTTGAAGGAGGAATATGATTTGGACCAACTTAAGGAAAGGGGAGGACCTTCCCTACCAAGGGAATAACTTGATGAAAGGGCCAAGGGAGGGTTGTGCCTGTTGAGACTATGGAATCTGAGGGCTAAGGTTGAGATTGAGGATTAAGACCTAAATTTCTTCCCTACATATGACACATTTTCAAATTATCCTGCAGTTTTACCCTAGCTTTGTCCTCCATCAGAGGCCTCCTCCTTACTGGAGACTGGGATAGTAAGGAACTACACAAGCCTGATATACCAGGTTGGTCCCACACTTGGGTCTCTCAGTGCTAAGGATTATGAAGAATCACCATTTCCTGGGCCTGGTTTGGTATCTTGAAACATTTCAAGTGGCTGATGGTTTCAATGCATTTACAAACCTTGCTAAGGTGAACTTGGAATCATTTGGTAATTTTCCCATGGTCTAAGTTGTTGACATGAACTTATATCTTTATCAGCAATAGGGAGGACAAACAAAAATAAGGTGTCCTTGACTTTTAGAAATCCACCCAGGTTCCAAGGTAAAATCATCAACTCATAGAACACAGAAAGTCAGAACTGGAAATGATCTTAGAACATAAAGCTTAAAATGTACCAATATTTTAAACATATATTTTCCTATTTCCCCTTTAGGGAAGTTCTGTGTAAAGGTCTGAATCAAGGATTCTTCATTTGTGTGGGGGGGGGGGGGGGGGGGGGGGGGGGGGTTGGGGCGGGAGGGTGTGTCTTGAATCCCCAGTGTGGTGGAACCCTTCTGAGAATCATGTCTTTAAAGGCATAAAACAAAAGACATAGCATTACAAAGGAAATGGAAATAGTCAACAAATTATTAAGGAAAAAAATTTCTCTGACCCCAAGTTAAGAACTCTTAGCTAGACTTTTCCTGACTAGATTGATTGTCCAAATTCAAGGTGATGAAAATGTTATGATATGTTATGCATCAAAACTAAGTAATTTATAGTCCCTAAGCAAATTTTAAATGTAACATTTTTCTTTAAAAAAAAAAAAGAATAGATAATACATAGGGCAGAAGCAATAATTAAGGTGATTAAACTGAAGGGTACCAGGGTCCTAGCATAGCAGTGGATTTAATTCATTTGGGAACTAGGAGTCCTGGGGAAAGAGAGAATGGGAATAATGGAGGGACTCTGAGGCACTTAAAAGTATTAATAGCTAACATTTATATAGCACCTACAGTGTGCCAGGCAATACACCAAGCACTTTACAATTATCACCTCATTTGATCTTCACAACGACCTTGGGAGGAAGATGCTATTGTTAGTCATTTTGAAGATGAGGAAACTTAGGCAAACAGAGATTAAGTGACTTGCACAGGGTCGCATAGCTAATGAGTGTCTGAGATTGGATTTGAACTCAGGTCTTCCAGACTCTAGACTCCCCACCTTTATTTACTGTGCTTCCTAGCTGCACTTGCTCTTGTCCAGAGGAAAAAAATCCACAAAAAAAGATGAATTTTGAAAGCTCTGGATATGTTTGACCCAGAGAACAGAAAATGAAATGAGGTGGGAAGAAAAGCATAGGGAAGGGGATATGGCCTTTCAACATGGGAAGGATTGTTGAGGAACAAAGAATGCACTTTGTTCTTCTTAGCCCCAAAAGGCAGAAAAAAGAAGCAATGAGCAGAAATTTCCAAGAGACTGATTCAAAACAAGTTTCTGAGAAAAAAAAAATCTGACCATCCATGAAACAGCTAATCTTCTGATGTTCTTTGTTCTAAGGTTCCTTCCAACTTTTACATTTTGTGTTTTAAGGTTCCTTCTTACTCTAATGTTCTGTCTTGTCTTTGTTCTAATAATGACATTCTGGGCTGAATTTTCTTTCCCACTTCAAGGACTAGGTTTTTGTAATAGTAGTGACTCACAGTGCTCTATCTTTTGATTTCTTCTACAGATTAAGAGATGTTCATATCCGAATCAGAAAAGAAGGGAGGTGCTGAGGAACCACGATATCCTTCATCCCAGTAGGACAGCATCATAGCTGGCCAGCCTGATTCTTCAATAAATACATAAGATTGATTCCTGCCATTTATGTGATTTGTCATGGAAAAAAAGTATGTTAGAGAAAGAAAGCATGGTATTGTGTATAGAAGATTGGCCTCTGGGTCAGTTCAAATCCCCTGACCCCCTATTGCCTGTGCGGGTTCAAGCCCTGCTCCTGACCCCTACTGTCTGTATGACACATCACCTCTCAGTCCCCCAAACAACTCTCCTAGATTATAAAATGCAGAGAGAATGCTTACTTGCATTGGAAAAAAGAGCTATACACCAGAAGTTCCATATAATGAGAAAATCATATATCTTATTTGAAGAAGAAAAAAAAAAAAGAATGGACAAGATCTAGAGGATGGTTTAGGAAGAGTGACTAGGATCACTATTAATTGCTCATATTTTTATAGGGCTTTGTAGTAATAAAGATATTCATAGTAGTTTATGCCATTCAGTGCTTACTAATACCCTCTATATAGCACAAATATTCCTATTATCATTTAAATGTAAGAATTCTGAAGTTTGGAAAGGAGAAGTGACTTGTCCAGAGTCATACAGTCAGTTAATGACACAGCCAAATTAGAATACAGCTCTTCTGACTGCCAATCCAAGGTTCTTTTCATTGCATTACACTGTCTTTAAAAGCCCTAGCCTGCAGGATGGGGAGATCACAGAATCCTAGTAGTTTAGAATTGAAAGGAATCTTATAGACCATTTATTCAAATCCTATCATTTTATGTTAACTGGTCATTTTACAAATGGAAAATCAGAGAAGTTAGGTGATTTGCCCAAGATCACACAGCTAGTACACAGAGATGAGATTCAAACTCTGATTGTCTGAATCCAAATCCATTGATGTCTTCATTATACCATCCTGTCAATAAGGACATTATGATTAAAGGAAATGGGTCATTTTTCCTCCTTCCATGAAAGTTGCATTGCATATTAAAAAGAAATAATCATTAGAGGAAATCCAAGAACAGAAGGGAGAAAACATGATGGAGAGACTCCTGGTGGGGATCAGTAAACAGAAAAAAAAAACAGATAAGATATTGTCATGGATGAATAAAAGAGGAAACAGGGCCAGAAGATGATAGATAAAAAGTTCAGGAAACAAAACCCAAATATGGCTTGGAGGTACACTACAATGCCAAAAGAGGACTTCCTTGGATTCTCTGAGAGCTCCCAATGAGAGTTCCTTTTCAAGCCTGCATCAGAACAGCTGACACATTCTTAACTGGCTTTAATGATCATTTCATTCTCCCAAAGCCTCATTTCAAGGTTCAAGGCAGATAGAAGTACAGCTCATGCTAATGGGAACTTGCTTCATTGAAGTTAATTAAGAACAAAAACCAAGGCTATAGTGAAGGGCACATGACAGTCTCTTGTGAAGCTGCCCAGGTCCAGGCCTGTCTCTTCATTCTGTCATGTAGTAGCAATAGACATAAAGTTCAACCAGGAGCTGGCCAGCTTGGTCAGGACTGATAGCTAACTCACCACAAGTGCCTGCTGCCCTCTGCCAAGGCACATTTGCCACCAAATAAAGTACTCAGAGGAGTTTACAAATCTGCTGTTATGCAACAACTCTATCAGTACAATTCTTAACAATCAGGTTCAGAAATTAACAGCAAAAGAACACATAGAGGGCAGAGCAAAGATGGCAGAGTAAAAGCAGTGACTTGCTTGAGTCCTCATCCCCAAACCCTCCAAATATCTGTAAAAAATGGCTCTAAACAAATTCTAGAGCATCAGAACCCACCAAAAAAAAAAAGAGTGAAACAAATTTCCAGCCCAAGACAACCTGGATGTTTGATCTGAAAGGTCTGTTGCACTGGGCTGGGAGAGGAGTGCAGTTTAGCGTGGGCTGTGTAGGCAAAGACCAGGCCTCAGTAAAATTGGAGCAATCCTCAGGGGACCAAATCACCAGCAGTTGAGGCAGTTTCCAGACTTCTCAACCCACAAATGCCAAAAACAACTTAGAAAGTCAGTAAGAAAGGTCTATCAGACCTGGGTGAGAGAGGAGCATGGTCCAGTCCTAGTCCTGGCACAGCTCCAGGGTGGTGGCTGCTTCCTGAGCTCTTGGCCCCCATGCATAGGGGGGATCAAGTGGCTGATCAGAGGGATATTGCAGGGATCTCTTTACTGGTTCTGAGACAGGATTCTCTTGCTTTGCCTGTGCTTGGATCTCGGTTGTGGTCCTGGCTGGTTATCCTGTGGTGAGGAGGAGCATTGGCATGGTGGAGCTTGTGGTGGCAGGGGAAAGGGAATCTTCCTCACAGTTCCAAGGCAGAAAAAAGTGCTTGTGGTCACTCAGAGACTACAGCATAACCCCAGAAAGGAGTAAACACCTCACCTTTGATCATGCCACCTTGGAAGAACTGAAAACTTATAGGTCCCTAGAAGTATCTCTGAAAACAGCTGCACAAAACTCCTGAAGTTTGGGATAGTACACCCTCCACACTAGAAGCAGACCCCTACCTTAACAAAGAGTTTAAAACTCAAGTAATTGGCTGGGAACACGAGCAAACAGTGCAAAAAAAAAAAAAACTCTGACCATAGAATCTTATTTTGGTGACAAAGAAGATCAAACATACAACCAGAAGAAGACAACAAAGTCACAACTCCTACATCCAAAGCTTCCAAGAAAAATATGAATCAGTCCCAGGCCATGGAAGAGCTCAAGAAGGATTTTGAGAAGCATGTAAGAAAAGTAGAGGAAAAACTGGGAAAAGAAATGAGAGTGATGCAAGAAAATCATGAAAAACAAGTCAACAGCTTGCTAAAGGAGACCCACAAAGTTCTGAAGAAATTAACACTTTAAAAAATAGCCTAACCCAAATGGCAAAAGAGATTCAAAAAGCCAATGAAGAGAATGCCTTAAAAAGCAGAATTGGGCAGATGGAAAAGGAAATCCAAAAGCTGACTGAAGAAAATAATTCCTTAAAAATTAGAATGGAGCCAATGGAAGCTAATGTCTTTATGAGAAATCAAAAAATTATATAACAAACCAAAAGATTGAAAAAACAGATGACAATGTGAAAATATCTCATTGGAAAAATAACTGACCTGGAAAATAGATTCAGGAGAGATAATTTTAAAATTATTAGACAACCTGAAAGCTATGATCAAAAAAAAAAAAAACCTAGGCATTCTCCTTCAAGAAATTATCAAGGAACACTGCCCTGATATTCTAGAACCAGAAGATAAAATGGAAATTGAAAGAATCCACCAATCACCTCCTGAAAGAGATCCCCAAAGGAAAACTTCTAGGAATATTATAGCCAAATTCCAGAGTTCCCAAGTGAAGGAGAAAATATTGCAGGCAACCAGAAAGAAACTATTCAAACATTGTGGAAAACACAATCAGGATAACACAATATTTAGCAGCTTCTACATTAAGGGACTAGAGGGCTTAGAATATGATATTCCAGAGGTCAAAGGAGCTAGGATTAAAACCAAGAATCACCTACTCAGAAAAACTGAATATAATCTCTCAGGGGAAAAAATGAACATTCAGTGAAATAGAGGGCTTTCAAGCATTCTTGATGAAAAGACCAGAGCTGAATAGAAAATTTGACTTTCAAATACAAGACTCAAAAGAAGCATGAAAAGGTAAACAGAAAAGAGAAATCATAAGGGACTTATTAAAGTTGAATTGTTTACATTCCTACATGGAAAGATAATATTTGTAACTCATGAGACCTTTCTCAGTATCAAGGCAGTTGGAGGGGAAAAAATTATATATATATAAAAAATATGTATGTATGTATGTATGCATATATGTGTGTGTGTGTGTATAGACAGAGGGCACAGGGTGAGTTGAAGATGAAGGGATGATATCTAAAAATAATATTAAGGGGTGAGAGAGGACTATACTGGGAGAAGGAGAAAAGGAGAGTTAGAATGGGGTAAATTATCTCACATAAAACAGACAAGAAAAAGCTTTTACAGTGGAGGGGAAGTGGGGGAAAGTGAGAGGGAATGAGTGAATCTTACTCTCATCAGATTTGGCTTAAGGAAGGAATAACATACACACTCAATTGGGTAAGGAAATCTATGTTGCCCTGCAGGAAAATAGGAAGGAAGGGGATAAAAGAGTGGGGTAGGATAGAAGGGAGGGCAGATTGGGGTAGGGGGTAATCAGAAGCAAACACTTTTGAGGAGGGACAGGGTCAAAGGAGAGAATAGAATAAATGGGGCATGGGATAGGATGAAGGGAAATATAGTTAGTTTTTCACAACGTGACTATTATGGAAGTGTTTTGCATGACTACGCATGTATAGCCTGTATCGAATTGCTTGCTTTCTCAATGAGGGTGGGTGGGGAGGGAAGAAAGGAGAGAATTTGGAACCCAAAGTTTTAAAAATAAATGTTAAAAATTGTTTTCAAATGCAACTGGGAAATAAGATATACAGGCAATGGGATATAGAAATCTATCCCGCCCTACAGGAAAATAGAAGGGGAAGGGGATAAGAGAAGGGGGGAAGGTGATAGAAGGGAGGGCAGATTGGGAGAAGGGGTATTCAGAGTGCATGCCATCTTGGAGTGGGGGGAGGGGAGAGATGGGGAGAAAATTTGAAACTCAAAATCTTGTGGAAGTGAATGTTGAAAACTAAAATAAATTAATTTTTAAAAAAGAATTAGAAATTGAAGGGATGCCCATCAATTGGGGAATAGCTGAACAAGTTGTGGTATGTGATTATGATTGGATACTATTGTAATATAAGAAATGATGAGCAGGATGCTTTCAGAAATACCTGGAAAGATTTACCTGGGCCGATGCAAAGCGATATGTACTGTGTACAAAGTAACATCAATATTATAAGATAAGCTGTGAATGACTTAGCTATTCTTAACAATATAGTGATCCAAGACAAATCTGAAGGACTTATGATGAAAAATGTTATCCATCCCCAGAGAAAGAACTGATGGTGTCTGAATACAGAGTGAAGCATACCTTTTTTTGTCTGTGTTTTCTTTCACAACGTGATTATTACAGATATATTTTGCATAATTACACATGTATAATC